CACTTCCATTATCTATCACAATTTTGTATATAAGGTCAGAAATGCTTCATCAAAGTCAGAAACTGCCTCATCAAATCCATTCTCCCCTTATTTCCTTCTCACACAACTAACCCATGTTTCACAGTCAGCTCTGCTGTTAGATATAGCCAATGTGAGATAAAGTGATATATGCCCATCCTGAGGCTTTTAAGAAGAGTGGAATCACTCTTCCATAAATTTTTTCCCCTTCTGTAGCTAAATATCGAAGATCTGAGGTTTTAGGAGATAGCAAAACTGCAAGATGAAAATAGCTTATGTTCTTCAATAACTGTGTGGAGGAAGGCTTCTGACCCATTTGCAACACTCACTCAGAACAGTGAAATGAGTGTACTCTTCTGGTCCAGGATACTGATAATGTGCGGAGGCTACCATGCATGGCAGTGAGGAGTCTGACAAATTTCTGCACAGTTTCCTTGATTTTCCTATGATTCTAAAACTGCTTCAAAAACAAAGCCTCCTGGGGCAGTGCTACAGTGTAGAGGGCAATGCCAGCATTCTATATGAGCAGCAGTTTGAGATCCAGCTGATTCTCTTCTCATCCAGTTCTCTACTAATATGTCTAGGATGGCAGCAAAGGATGGCCCAAGGGTTTCGGCTCCAACACCCCCTTCGGAGATCATGAACAAACTCCAGACACCTGGCCCAGACCCGGACACTGTGATAGATTTCTGTGTATGTACGTGTGTGTGTCTGAGTATATAACTCAGATAAAAAAATAATTAAAAAACAATAAATAAGCAGATCTGTGTAAACAGATATAAAACACTATTAATGAATACTTTTAAATAAAAAATTTAAACTCTATTTTTAATTTTAATCCCCTCAAAATATAAACATATACACATATTAACTCAAAATATAAATATAGTCACATATTTTTATGTATTATATAGATACCACACACACGGCCTAGAAAAAGAAATCTAGAAAGTCAGAAATATCAGAAAGTTACTAGGGATCACATTATGACCTCAAAACATCATTTCTTACAACATGTGATCAGATCACCCTGAATAAATGGCTGATACCTGCTAGGAGCAGTACAAATCCAAAATGAGCTAGGTATGGCTTGTCACAACAAACAGAAAGACAACTATCAAAGACTACAATGTCAAAAGGATTTCAGAACTAACACAAAGAAATTCTAATGACTGAAGACAAGACAATTTGAGCAACTGTAATGACTGAAATGGAAGTTTTGATTAGATCCTTGAAGTAAAGAAACACATCATCAACACCACTGGAGGGTGTTAAGGAACTCTTTTTGGTTGTCTGAAACATCCCCCAAAACCAGACCCAAGCTTTTTATCCTAATTTTCTACTATGATTTATAGCACTAGGAAATCAGTAGGTAATTTTACAATATTTTAGTGAAGAAACACAGGAAGAATGAGAAAAAACAGTGGGAGGAACTTAGAATGGTGATTCAGTTATCACTCAGCTGCTCACATCCCATTTCAATGAGCCGGCATTCAACTATTCTACCTTTCAACCATCTTCCTGTTAATGTGTTTTCCAAGAGCTAGCAGGTAATATCTCAGGTACCTGAGTTGCTACTACCCTCCTAGAAGACCTAGATGGATGTCCTGGCTCCTTAGCTTCAATCTGGCCTGGCATTGGTTGTTACAGCAATTTAGACAGAGAACCAGTAGATGGCAGATCTCTCTCCATCTATATCTTATATCTTATCCATCTATATATCTTATATCTCCATCTATATCTTATCTTTCAAATAAAATAAAAATAAACCTTTCTTTCTAATTTTAAAAAAGGTGATAAAATTCAAATATATCCACACCATAATCTCCAAGGAATCAAGTATGAACTATTGCTAATATCACACAGAGAAAACAGAGATTTCTGTTAATATCACACAAAGAAACAGAGACAAGCAGATATTATATCTCTGTAATGGGAGAAAATTCTAATACTTAATAAAGCAATGGCCAAAAAATTTAAAAAAAAAAAACTACACATGAAGTTAAGCAAGATTCTAGATGTGATTGTCAATTTAAAAGAAAGACAATGTAACACAGAAACAAGCTCTACTACAACATAGCAATCAACAAAATACAAATCATGAAAACTCTATTGACAAAATACTGGTTTAATGAAAAAACATGCAAAAATGAGAAGATGAGGAATAAGAAAGAGTACAATAGAAAACAAAGTGAGGCAGGAAGGAAGATGGAAGTAGAAAGAGAAGGAAAATGAGACATATGGGTAGGAAAGAGACAACATAAAAAATATAAACTAGCCATAAGATGCAAATCTTATTTGAATCCTAACTTAATATTTAAGATAACAGAGGACATTAAAAACGATTAGAAATTTAGCCACTGACTAACTATTTGACAGTATCAAGAAACTAGCTTTAAGCTTTGTAAAACTGCTTTGATTTATTTGAGAAGTAGCAAGAGAGAGTGTATGAGAGAGCAAGCAGTGAGTGTGCATTTTTATTACTGGTTCATTCCACAAATGTCTACAATAGCCAGGACTAAGCCAGGCCATGCGTGGGAGCCCATATCTTCCGTGTTGGTGCTGGGAGCCCAATCCCTTGAGCCATCAACAATACCCACAAAGATCTGCATGTGGAATGTGGGTATCTTAACCAGCTTCTTAACCAGTGGGACAAACACTGATTCCTTTTGTTTGTTTGTTTGCTTAAGATTTATTTGTTTTACTTGAGGGCCTAGCGCAGTGGCCTAGAGGCTAAAGTCCTCACCTTGAACTCACCAGGATCCCATACCAGCGTCAGTTCTATCCCGGCAGCTCCACTTCCCATCCAGCTCCCTGCCTGTGGCCTGGGAAAGCAGTCGAGGACGGCCCAAAGCTTTGGGACCCTGCACCAGTGTGGGATACCTGGAAGAGGTTCCTGGCTCCTGGCTTTGGATTGGTTCAGCTCCAGCCGTTGCGGTCTCTTGGGGAGTCAATCATCGGACAGAAGATCTTCCTCTCTGTCTCTCCTCCTCTCTGTATATCTGACTTTGTAATAAAAATAAATCTTAAAAAAAAATAAAAGATTTATTTGTTTTACTTGAAAGTCCAGAGCTGCAGCTAGAGATGGAGAAAGAGATCTTCCAACCACTGGTTCACTCTCCAGTAGTCCCAAGTCCAGCAGGTCAGAGCTGGGCTAATCCAAACCTGAGAGTCAGGAACTTTGTGAGTACAGGGGTCTAACACCCTTGTATCATTCTCCACTGCTTTCCCAGGCCACTAGAGAAGCATGATTGAAAGTGGAGCAGCCAGGACTCAAACCATTACCCATATGGGATGCAAACACTCTTAAATTTTTAAATGTGATAATATTCCCATTATATTTCAAAAAGAAATGTTCTACCTTTGCCTGTATCTCCTAATATTTGTTAATATTTCTATGATAAAAGATGGAATCTTAAAATTCAAAGAGAAGAAGCAAATAGACATTTGTCTACTTGACAACCGGAAGCAGGGAATGGGCAAAGGATGTTTTATAATTCTATCTTGTCCACTTTTATATTTGCCTGAAATTCTCACAACGCAAAAGTTATCCTGGGATGCTAGAAGGAGAAGCTGAAGCCATAATCTATTTTTTTTCCCCTCTGCAAATGTATAAACTATAAAAGTGAACAGTTGTTAATGAAAAATCTGAACAGAAATGATAGAAGAAATGAACAAACATGTTGCCAAGATGTTGGGCCCAAAGATGGCAATTAATATTTTGTCAGATACAGATAAAGCTGAGCAGGCATGCAAGTCATCATTTATCCAGATGTGATGATTAGAAAACTTAATTCCAATTTAGACAAAGCTGATTTCCTATGCAGTTTATATAAGTTTTAAAGCTTATTTTGTCTAGGAAATCTGCTTCTTGGTATTTTAATACTCCTTAAGTGAATTCATCTGTTACTCAAAAAATTTTGATTGGTGACTCTTAACAAATTCTCAGTTAGCTCCAAGGTTTTAAATGGCATCTCTGCGTGACTACAAAATACTCGTCTTCAGAATTAGAATCAGTCACCCAACTACTGACTCACATATCCATCTGTATATGGGTTTCTATGGGGCATCTCCAAATTATTGCATCCAGAACTAAACTCTTGTGTTTCTCCCTGGACCTCTCCTTCCATTGTTTTACTGCTGTTCCACTCAAAAGAACTGCTACATTTCACGATTGTTGTTACTGAGTTGTTCAAAAACTTTGGAATTAAACTATTTTTTTCTTCCACCTTCCTAGTCAAAACATACAGACATTCCACACACTTATCAAAGTACTTCTACCACAACCATTTAGGTATCTGCCATTGGTTCTCCTTCCCCAGTCAGTTCTCTACATGTAAAAGTAAGCAAAAGAAGATTTCTTCAGACCATGACATTCGTTTGGTTAAAATCTCCAATGATCTCACCTCAGGAAAAAACAAAAAACTATCATCTTTACGGCAGGTGGTTATTTGCCTATAAGGATATCTGTCTTTGGCTGGTATGACAGTGGAGCACGTTAATCTTCCACCTGCAGCACCAGCATCCCATATGGACACCAGTATGTCTCCACTTCCCATCCAGCTCCTTGTTTATAACCTGGGAAAGCAGTGGAAGATGGCCAAAGCCTTGGGCCCTGTAGTGACATGGGTGGAAGGAGCTCCTGGCTCCCAGCATAGGATCAGCTCAGCTCTGGTCATTGTGGCCATTTGGGAAGTAAACCAGTGGATGGAAGATCTTCTCTCTGTCTCTCCTGCTCTCTGTAAAACCTACCTTTCAAATAAAAATAAACAAATCTTTAAAAAAAAGTCTCAGAATAGGTACTGACACTTACATGAACTAGTAAAGTTAGTATTTAAAAGCAATATAAGATTGCTTCCTGAATTATAGGCTACTGGAAAAAATCAGTCTTATGTTGATTCTTTTTAAATTTTCTAACAAAGTTAATAATGAGGTTAAGGTGATCTGCCATTTTTAAATTTATATTATTATTTTTACTTAACCTTTGAGCAGTTTCAACTGTCAGGTCCCAATCCTGCAATGCTAATTGTAGTTTCATTTTCTTTATGAAAGCGGGAAGGAAGCTTGGAGAGTTCACAATGATCTGGTTCACAGTCTCCAGAGCACCTGAATAATTCTGGCGCATCTCAAGACACTGCGCCTAATAGGAGGAAACAGAAGGTTCCATCAAAACTAATCTTACAGCTCAAGGTTCATACAGAGTGTAATAGTTTTATGTTCCATCACTTTTTCATTAAAGAGCATTTACTGCTTTTATTACAAAAAGCAAAATAAGTTTTAATCAAATTAACGTCTTTTAAAAAAAACACCAATGAAAATAATGTTTCATTTTAAAGCAGAAACATCAACTCCTCTGTCTGGAAGCACTTCCTGCAGGTGAGTACAAGAATAAAGGCTGGGAGCATCCCAGATCAGGCCAGGTTGTGACACCCGCCAGCACACATGAGGGGCAGGTCTGGGGACACACAGGCTGAACTAGCTCATGCCATGCACTGGCAGATTTGAGAACCAGGATGGGGTGCAGGATAGGCCATGTTGAGCCATAGCACCAGCCAGTTCACATCAAGGCTGGGAATGGGGACAGACTGGGCCAGGCAGGCTACAATACCTGCTGGCAAATGCTTAGGTGAGGCAGACCATGCCAGACTGGACCAAACCACCCACCAGCACATGTGAGCTCCAGGAAGGGAGGGCTGCAAGCATGGTAGGAAGGTAGCCTGGGCTCCAATGCTTGCCCACTACTCCCACTGGTGAGCATGAGAACTGGAACTAAGGACAATACCAGATTGGGCAGGTTGGTTACAACACCTGCTGACCTGCATGTGAACTGAGTTAAGCAGAGAGCCAAGCTGGGCTAAATAACCATATTCGCATGCCAGAGCCAGGTTGGTTGGGCTTTGTTGCAGCATCAACTGGCAAGGGCTGGGACTGGGGAGCAAGCCCTGTCAAGCTAGATTGCAGAACTTTTTGAAAAGTGCAAGATCTGGGACTGTGAGTGGGCCCAGTAGGGAAACAGTAGACACTTCGTGATGGGTTGAAACTCCCACTGGTGAGCATGAGGAACAGAGCTGGGGCAGGCCTGACTAGACAGGTGATGGGCACCTGCCAACATGAGTGTGGGCTGGATAGTGGGGTCAACTGGGTTGAATTAGGCTTTAACGCCTATTGATGTGTACGAGAGCTGAATGGGATATGGACCATGCTTCACACACCAGCATGCACAGGAACCAGGGCTGGAGAGGGACCTAGTGGGGGTTACAGAGAGTCACTCTGTCTAGGCTGCAGATCCTGCTGGTATACATGAGGAACAACTGTGGTGGGCAGAGTTGGGCTGAGCCACAGCATCCATTGGTTTGAGGAAGAGATGGGGCTGGAGACAGGACTGAACCAAGAACTGCAACTATCAGTGTAGCGTAGGCTAATGTGGGTGATGGAATGAGCCAGACCCCACACTGGCAAGCATACACAAGTCGGGTCTGAGATCACCTTAGATGAGGTTTCTTTGGTGATCGTCTCAACTGAATTACTGGACCCAGAACTCCAACCATTGGGAGAATCTGTATTTTAACTAACGTGTGTGTCAGAACTGGGCCTCTTCTGTGGTTTAAACAGAGCAGTGGACAGCATACCCAGATGCATATGGAGGATATGGCAGTCCATTGGGACCTGCCTGCAGAGGACATCTAATACCATAACAAAGGAAAGAGGGCAGAACAAACTGGACAACTACCCCAGCCAAACGATGACAGCAAATATTTGGGCAAACTGAGATTCTAAAGTGGACTATGTCAGCAAATGGACCTTGGAAGGATTTCCTCATCCTTGGATTGGCAAGATTGACAGCATTTCAGAACTACTGAAACCTTTTAAGCAGAACCCTTGGAGCATGCTACACATTGGGGACCCTGGGATGACACTGTGGGTGGCCATTCCCCATCCCCAGGTACTGAGGCAGCTGGAATGCTGGGTGTGGCTTCTCTCCTATTCTCTCTTCTTTCCCAGATACAGGAAGAAGAAAAAGAAGAAGAAAATTTGGAAACAGAGGTCTCATTCACTTTTCCCTAATCCTCGACTCCCATTCTAATCAGTGTAATCCACATGGGTATGCATCCTCTCAACTATGTAAAGATCATCAAAAATAAAATTAAAATCATAATAATAAAAAAAGAAATAATAAAATTAAAAGAAAAAAGAAAAAGAAATGATAGGAAAAAAAAAAGAAATAGAAACATCACATTTCTGGAATAAAATATTTCCAGGATGTTCCCAAGCATAATATAAAACTGAGGAGATTTTAGAAACATTACTCTAAATTCGACTCACCTTACCCAGCAAAGCAAAAATATCGTATCCATCTTGCAATCCCTCTTCAAAATATCTTAGTGCTTTTTTAGTATAAGGTTCTTTTCCTCTTGTAATATCAAGCCATCCTCTTAAAATTAGTCCCTGAAAAATAAGTAACCCCAATCATATTTCTAAGACAGTGGGTTTGGAAGAATTGTATGTTGATGAGAAGTCAACCCCATGTCATTTTTTGATCATTAATAAGAAAAAGGTCTTTATGGACCAATGTTCTAAACAGTAAAATCTTGTTCACTAAAATAATATTTGAACCCTTAACAGCCTATAGTGCTGGGAACTACATTATGAGATTGACCCTTTATGCTTACTTCTCAGTTCAGTTACAATAGCCAGAAGTTTGTCAAATAGTTCACCAATGTTAAAAGCAGTATTCTTCTGTGAGAGGTTTGATAGTTAATTGTTAATAATAATTGATAAGTATGGTATTCAATATAGAAATTATAACTTTTTGTCTCTTTTTGGCTAAAAAGCCCAAATGAACTAAGAAGGAAAAACAAATGTCTTTTTCACATGTTTTAAAGATCCTGGTAATCTGGCAACTACCTCTGTAAGCTTTTTTGACTACTCCAGCTAATTTCAAATCAAAAGAAACACAAATAGTGGGAAAATGAAAAACTGAAGCAGTCTCAGTGTCATTATTGAACAGTTTCATCTGCTGTATTTTAGTGATGATTTCATTTAAATATATACATATATTTAAAGATTTGTTTTATCTCACTTATTTGAAAAACAGAGTTATAGACAAAGAGGGACAGACAGTAAACAGTAGAAAGAGATCACTGATCAGGTTACTCACTCCCCAGATGACACCATAGCTGGTGCTGGGCCGGCTTCATAAGGGCCTCCCACACGGATGCAGTCATCTTTTGCTGGTTCCCTGGCACTTTATCAGAAACCAGAGAAGCTGGAACTCAAACTAGAGCCCATGCAGGATGCTGGCATCCAAGGCAGCAACTGAACCTGATGCATCACAATCTCTTCTAGAAATTTATGCCAGCTCTCTGTTCTGCCAGCACTTAATACTTCATTATCCTTTTCCTATTATCATTTGATACATTCTTTGGCTTTAAAATTTCTCAAATTCTCAAGGTTGTATGTATGTACTATACAATATTTTAGCATAGTTCTCAAAGCCTTCTGCTAGAAAGTTCTCACTTTGTGTGTGCAGGGCAGTCACAATCTAGTTTCTCTCCAGGATAGCATTCCTAGGAGCCATTGTTAATATTAATCTTTGAATTTATGCTCTAATGACATCATAGTTAATGATGATCAAAAATACTCAATGACGAAAAATGTTCATCAGCCTCTCATGTCTATTCAATTAGATAAAAAATATCTGTAAACTGTGGTCAAGCCCCATGAATTTGTTACAACCTGCTGTTCCAACTTTTTTCATTTTGTGTCCTGTGTCCTCACTAAATAATGATCTCACTGCACTCAAGATGAATCTGTCTCATTTCTACTTCATTTTCCATAATCTTTGTTGAAACTACACTCATCTGTTAGGATTCAGCTCAAACGACACTGCAAGACATTCTTCCTCATTTGCCTAAAATTCATGGAAGTGATCTCTCCTTAATGTAAAAGACTGTCTCACATGAAGGAGGCCTCAGATATCAGATACTCGCTATTCTTTTTGGTAAAATTCAATCATTTGCATCATACTATTTGCAGTTTTATCATACTGTTTGTAGTTTTTCTCACAATATAAGCTGAGTATGTACTCAAACATAGGTGATTTGTTCATAAAAGTAAAGTTTATATATGCCTAATCTTTGTATAAGTATATAACAGTATAAACAATGATGTTTTGTATTGGCTGCTTAACAAAAGAGAGGGAGGGAAGTAATGAGAGGTGAAGAGAGAAAAAGAAAAAAAACAGAAGAAATATCTTTTCAAGGGTTAATGGCAACCAGAATAAACACCCTTAGAAAATTTGTCTTACAATGTAAGCAAACATGAAAACAAAGCCAGTATTTACAAAGTGATACTAGAATAGATGACAAAGTAATATGATGATAAAGTCTCTTTTAATACTATTCCAAAATACAAGGGCAGCTACCTCTTTGCTGCTATTTGACATTTTGATCATTCTGTCAATGTAGTCTCTCGCCTTGTCATGCCGACCAATGTGCCAAAGAAACAGGCCTGCATAGTATAAAGCTTTCTGTCCAGATCCTTTACGGAGCTCCTTCATTTTAGAATCTAACTCCAGAATAGCTTCTTTATCTGAAAAGGGAAAACAACACTAAATGAAAGTTAAATTGTAGGCCAAGTCCTTATAATAGTTTGGAAGATTAGCAGGAAGATTACTCAGTCTCTTTAGCAGTACTGGATAACCAGAATAATTACAAGCCAATTAAGTAATTCAAACTTTACAAAATCAATTTTAATAATTAAAATGATCATCTTAATAAATAATTGATAAACACTAATGAGATAGTTTGCATTCTATTGTCTTACTAAATCTTTAAAACCTTGTGGGTATATTACATTTATAACATATCTTAATTAAGATGCTAAACTGTCTTTAGAAATATTTGGTTTGTGTTAGACTTCATAAATCTTGTAAATCAAATGTAGATTCATAGATTCCAGTTAGTCCACACACAGGATTTTTAATAAGCACCAGTTCTGAATTTTAAAAATAAATTAAAAACTCAGTTCCCCAAACTAGCCACATTTCAAGACAATTAGCACAACATTAACACACACATAGTTCCTTCTATTATCTGATCACATTTCCCAATCTATTATGGGGAACGACTGAGTATTTTTTTAAGGAACAGCACTTATGTAAGGGATAAAGACCATAAGAAATCTGACATATAGAAAAGAAAAACTATACTTATATTTAGCTAAAATTTAGAGATAAAAAGTTGTAAAGTCATCTTCTGCAGAGCAATTTACATAAACTTGTCTTCTCATTGTTCTTTCATTGCACAAGTATAACTAATACACATTCACCTTTAGGTTAACTCAAATAATACCTATGTGCAACCAAAGCCTGTGCCACAGAATACAAGAAACATGAAGACAAAATAAAACATGTTTCTTGTACTTGAAGACTTTTAGTCTTGTCAGAAATACAAAGCATATATAAACTGTACCAATAGACAAAATATAGTAGAATCATACTGAATGCTAAAGGACTTGAGAAAAAATTATCTGAATACGAACTATTGTCCTAAATGATGTACTTAAACACATACCTGGATTTGGACTCATTTTGTGAGTGTATATTAGTGCAATATGAGAACAAAGTGATACATCCTGTTTATTTTTAGTAGTCTCAAATTCTCGAAGAGCTTCTTGAGTTTTGCCTGTAAAATCAAGATCATGATATGAGCACTTATTCATGATAAAAAAAAAAACACAAGCATTTAAAACTATGAAATCTATTTAATAGTACATACCTTCCATTAATATACCATAAGCATGATAAAATCTGAAGATTGGGTCATTGCTATACCTCTTAATTCCTTCACTGGCAAAAAGTACCACATGATGGAAATATCTCTCTTGACAATAGTAATTAATCAAAGCCTAAAAGGAAACAATGATGATACAGTAAGATATTCTGAAGCTTGAAAATACTTCAAAAGGGAGATAACAATTTGGAAAAGCCTAAAACATTTTCTTCTAAGATCCTTAAAGAACTGCAGAATATTTAAAAAAAAAACACACACATATACTGAATGAAACAATTTAATCTTTCCTAATAATTTCAAGCTTCATTCCTAAAATTATAACAATACTAACCTTAAACTGCTTTTTCCTTTTTCCCCTTGCCCACATTTTCCTAAAGATTTTAGAAAACAGGAAAACAAAGAGCAGAGAAAAAGAGACTACCATCAGCATAGATTTTTAAAAAGTCTGTGATCAAATGTAATTTCACATAAAAAAGGTATTTTTGTGAAATGTAGAGGCACAGACATTGGGAAAGAGAGAGAAGGAGATCTTCCATCTACTGGTTTACTCCCTAAATGGCTACAAGAAAATCAGAAACCTGAAACCCCATCTGGGTCTCTCCCGTGGTGGGTGCAGGACACAAGCATTTGTGCCTTCTTCCTCTGGTTTCCCAGGCACTTTAGCACGGAGCTAGCTGGGTTGCAAGCGGAGCAGTCGGGAATCCAAGCAAGGTCCGTGGGGGACACCAGTATCACAGGATGAAAGCTCAAAGAACTGAGCCACAGCGCCCATCTGAGATTGCTACTTCTGGAATTTTTTAAAATACTGTATTATTTTGATTTACACACAGAAAATTAAACCCTCATTAACCATGAAACAATGAATTCTCTGTAACTGTGACTATTCTTTATCTAAAGCTTAGGCGTTGCTCTAGTCAAAGAGCTATGTCAGGATTTCAGCATCACTGGGAAATAGCTGATACACCTGCAGCCCATGCCTACCTATGGCACTGAAGCGCCAACCAGACAGGACTCAAACAGCAGAGCATGCACACTGCTCTGTCTGTAGTCTAGCGCTCCTGCAGGGTCAGCTCCTGTCCTCTCGAGCAGAGCGCCAGGGAAGTGCTCCACGTGTCAGTCTGCATCACTCTGTGGTTACTCTCCTTCTTAGCCACTTTTCTTGAGAGCGTGATCTACACTCCCAACTTTTAGAACCTGGCCACACATTTCAGTAAACTCTACCAACCCCACAAGGCTGTCACAAAGTTTGTCTGTCTCATCTAAGAAATACTGCTATTATCTAACTTGATTGGCACAGCAGTTAGTATCACTCAGCATCTACAATGTTCCTGAAAGGCAGCATGGTGTTGCAAAAAGAACATGGTTTTAAAGGTGAAACTCTTGGTTTCAAATCTTTGGACCCAACTGACACTGCCTCAGTTTGTTCAGTCATAAAATCTCACAAGTAAGGCAAATTTACCAGTGGTATTTTTCTGGAAAAAAAAATTTCGGAAGCCCATTTGGTGCTCACACTAAGAATGATTATGCTCACCCAAGCTGCAAATTGATACTGTGGTTTACCTCCTACTGGTCCTTCCTCATCTGTCCAGGATCCCCTAGGTTCTTTGTGTTTAATCCATTTCCTCCTCTCTATACTTGTTGCTAACTGCTGTGGTTCTGACTAGTTCCTCTGGTACAACAAATGCCTGCCTACAGGTGCCAGGCCCTGTGCTAAATAGAGAACATAAAAAGGAATTAAGACACAGTCTTTGCCTTGGTAAAATTTATAGTCTTCAGATGAGACTTTAATCTGAAGTCTAAGTGAACTACATCTTACATAAATTTAAGAAATGAACTTATATTATACATTGTTGTGGGAAGACAGGATAATGTTAAAACAGCTTTCATAACAGAGAATGCTGTGAGGTGAGAAAGGAAGATTAAAATTAGCGGTAAAATTCCTGGGAAGACTTCAGGAGTGACTGTTGAACTGCAAACTCCTCAACTCCCCTTCACTGGATTCTTGAGGGAGGTGTAGGTATGGCTAGGCAGAGGAGCTGCAGTAACACACAGGTATCAAACAGCAAGAGTACATGGGCAACAGGGGCCGCCAGGAGGACTAAAAAACAAGCAAAATGTATCCCGCAGACCATGGAGAGCTTACTGCCTGCTTCCACATGGTCTGTGAGCTAAGCATGGCTTTTATATTTTCTAATAGTGGGAAAAAAGCAAGAATAAAACTAGTTCTTTATAGCTGAAAGCTGCAGGAAAGTCAGTCACCACGCCCATTCACTTATGCACCGTATGGTTGCTTCGAGGCCACTGCAGGTTTGCCTTGCAGGTTCCTGGGGAGGAGATGCAACAAAAAAGAAACGGGGTACAGAGCTCTCTTGGGCAACTAACCAAGTTTGTTTTCAGGGTTTCAGTTTATATACATTTCAGCAAAGCAACACGTGAAACATAGTTGAGCTCAGATATCAGTTACAATGATCAGGTTTGATATACAACTCTTGTCACATGTGTGTAAGCGGGGAGTTCCAGAAGAGCTAACAAGGCACCTGGACCACAGCACCACTGGTGTCAGATATTGATAAGGAGCACTGCTTTGATTTAGGATAATTGGCTAACCAAGCACAGATGTTTGCCATACATCAGGGAAGCATGAAAGCACATCCCAGGACTCACTGGGGGAAGAGCGCACCCTGGGTGAGAGGCCCTCTGCCTCCTCTTTCCTGGATCCCACAGGCCTCTGCTGTCCCAGCTGTGCTGCTGGATGTATTGACAGGCCACAGTAACAGAGCGAAGGAGAAACAGACCTGATTGTTCACAAAACCTATAACATGTACCACAAGGTACCTACAAAAAGCTTCTGGGGGCTGGAGGGAAGGAAGTGGGATGGGGTATTAATGTTGTATTTATTGCAAGCACTTTGCAATTCAGAAATAGTGTTTCCAATTATAGCCACTTGTCATAAAGTTTTTGAAGCACCCTGGTGCCTCATCCTTTGTAGAGAGAAGTTTGCTATTGTTTCTGGAGCTTTTAGGTTGGGCGTGACTGGATGATGGGGCTGGAGAGGAGTAGGGTCAGGTTATATTTAGGGTTGGTATTCAGTTCTTGGTCTTGATTCTCCAAGCTGGGTCATAAGAATCCCACGACAGTGTTTTTTTTTTTTTAAAGCATTGAGAAGCTTTATTGCTTTATTTAAAAATTCATCCAGGTGGCAGTGTGAAACATACATTTGCAGGTATTAAAACAACAACAACAACAACAAAACCAGAAAATCTGTTAGCCACTTAAGCACTGCCAACTTCCTTAGGGTCAAATGGTCCTCTCTTGACTCAACAAGGATTTCATGGGGTACCCATTTGTTTACCCAGTTATTGTCTGACTCTTACTCCAGTATAAGTTCTACAGATGGACAAGACTTTTCTCAGTGACCCTGTTACCCTGTGGAGTTTACGACACACACACACACACACACACACACACACACACACACACACACACGGCAATCAACACAATGCATCGCGTCCAGGTTTTCCTCCAACCTCAGACTGCAAAGTTGTGAAGACAGACTGTCCTGGTCTGCTCTGGCTACTTTTAGTGGATACAGACTTCCACAAATGCTGGCTTAAAGGGCTGTTAAAACAAGTAAATAATCAAGGTCATTATCTCCAAGGGAAACGTCTCAAGTTTTGTGTCTTTAACGTCTTCCTATCCTCATTTCTTCACTACATATTCGCTGAGGGGGTGCAACACCGACCCACAGGGACCGACGCCCTCAACAGTCAAATCCTCTGCTTCCCGTTTCTTTTGCTGTTTGTTTTCTGCATTTTGGCCTGTCCAGAGCCGCAGCCGACCAGAACAATCACACCTGCGGACGCGGGATCACACGTTGGCCAAGCTCTCCTCGCCAACACAAAGCGCGGGCAAGGACGGCCGGTGAGCCCGCGGGGTGCCGGAGGCCCGGGCCGGGAGGTGGGCTTCGCGCCCCTCACGTCCACCGGCTGGGCAGGCACAGCAGGGCGCTCGGGGCCTCGCCAAACCCGCCGAGCTCCCTCCACGACCCCGAGCCCATCGCCACCCCCAGGCCCCGGTGTGGCCTCCGTCCGCCCCTCCGCTCACCTTCAGCCCCTGCGAGTCCATGGCTGCCCCCCCGGGCCCCGACCGCGGGGCTCCGGGGCGGCCGAGGGGCTCCGGGGCGGCCGAGGGGTTCCGGGGCGGCCACGGGTTCCCGGGTGACCGCTCGGCGTGGCCCAGCCGCCCGCCGGGCTCCAACTCCGCCGCGGCCGCGAGACGCGAGGGCGGGGCCGGCAGCGGCGGGGCCGCGTTCCCATTGGCCGCGGGCAGAGGGGGCGGGCCCTAGAGGCCGGGGAGGCGACGGGCGCGGAGCAGGCGCGTTAGGGGGCTCGGCGAGGGTGCTGCGAGGGCGACCTCGGGAGGGTCAAGGTTAGAGAAAGTGGTGCGGATGGTTGGTAGGCTTCCAGAAGGAACCCAGAGCCGGAAAGGGACCTCGGAGAACACCGGGTGGGCTGAGGAGACAGGATTCAGGAATAAAGCCAGCGGGGCGGAGCAGGAGGGAGGAGGGCGAGTCGGCCTCTCCCTGGCTGCAGACTCCATTTCCTGCGCGTGGACAGGGGCCGGTATCCGCAATGCGGGAGCTGCCCGGCTGCCCGGCGCTCTGAGGAGCCTCGCGCTCTCTCGGGCCGTGAGCTTTGTCCGCGAGGTGGCGCAGTTAAATCACCAGTCCTCAGCAGAAACGGGTTTACGATTCATGGGCCTATTTTTCTTTGCAGGCATTGTTGCTATGCTGTGTTACTGAAATGCATGTTAAATCACTTCATTCTTACCAGTCCTAGTGATGAGAAAGGCAAAGGAGGTAAACTTTTTTTTTTGTTTTTCAGCATTTGTTTATATGTTAACTACTTGACTTCTGATTTTAGACAGAATAAAATTAATCCTTGTGCAAATATTTGTTTTTGTATCCCTTAGGCGACTGTCAGGTAAAAATTTCCTCAGAGAATTAGATTAAATACAGTAGACTAAAGGTTTTGTTTTTTTTTTAATTTCTCCTTAAAGATATTGTAAATAGTGTGTAAGGTTTAAGTGACTTTATACTGCATCCTTTACAGGGATTCAGTTTACCTAACATACTCGTTATGCAGTTTCCCTTGTCAGATTTTAAGTCTCTTAGGGAGTTTGTGAACATTAACATTTTTTTCCCAATGCCGGTAGGTTATATAATGACACTGTTGAAAAGAAAAAATAGCTAACATCCCAGGCTTTAGACCAAGACTGTAGTTTTTGTTACTTTCCCTGGAAAGTGCATTACACCCAATACGACATGTATTTTTTTCATGAGACTTTTTGTTTCCAACACGCTTAGTCTAAGTAGATGTAGTCATAGGCAGTGTGGAGCACCAGCTAGTCTGGTTTGCAAAGCTGTGGATTGATCTGACACTTCAGATGCCTGAAGGGTGTTATCCTAAACCGTAAACTCTGGCTTCCCAGGTAGACATATCTGGAAGCACCTAGGGATCGTGATCAGAAGGAGCAGATCAACCTACCTGACTGAGGTCTTCAGCAACTCAACTTGGGCTGCCTATGGGTCCCTACTCATTTAGCCTAGTGTAGAAGTTCTGGTGTTCAATTTTGTTGCCGGGTTACAATATTTACTGCTACAACTGTGCCAGGCCCTCCAGGAGTGGTTGTTTAGGTTACAACTTTTGGGGAATTTGTTTTGTCCCTGGTAATGTTCCCTGAATCATTCATGTTACCAATTTCTTTTGGATCTCAGGTCATGGAAAACCCTGTCTTTCCCCCCTCATCCTGCGCCACTCCCTACCCCGAAAAAAAAGAAGAAGTAAAAAAGAGCAATTGGTACATTGAACATTTTTTACTACCTGATATTACCTCCATACCTTGATTGTGGCATGCAGGACTTTGAGCCGCGTGTCTTTCCAAGGCTTGTCTCCTGCTCTTCCATTGAAGCAGGGCCACCACCCCTTCTGGGAGCACTTTCTCTTACTCTCCTTTGGGGTCTGTCCAGTTCTGTCTACTTTTTCTTCAGAGTTTTTCTGTTTGATGTCATTTGCTTGTGTGACTTGAATAATAATTTCCCTGAACCTCGTAGTTCTATAGAAGAAGTAAATGCCTCGTTAACCTCTGGGAAGTTGTGGTACATGGTAGGCTTCTCTGATTCATAATTTCTGTTAAACAGTGCTGGCTTGCCGCTTTTGCATATTCCTCTTATTATAGTTCTGGTATAATCTTAGTATACTTGAATCTTCTCTACTAGATGATGAACACTTGAGAGCCAGGTGGTATAGTTAGTGGGTAAAAGCTTTGTCCATGGAGGCAGTCACCTGCCTTCAAACCTTGATATTACTGCTTACTAGCTATTCATTTTAAAGGCTGCTTACCCCCTGTACTTCAGTTGTAAAATTAGAGCAATACAGAAAATTGTTTAGAAGATTGAATGGATTAGTGTCTGAAACACAAAGCAATATTAAGTGCATGCCAAGCATGGAAACAATTGCCTAGAGTTAATTGCACACTCACTTATTCCCAGCACAGTGTATCAGGTTGAGCTCACAAGTAAGCAGTAAATTTTAGGGCACTGTGTGATGTCCTTTTCTCCAAATTTTATGCTCATCTACTTGTATCAGTAGTCTTTTCATCATGTATGCAAATGAAAGGAAAATGCTGAGCAAAACTAAGTAGTTCTGGTGGAGACAAAAGTAAAAGCAAATAGGCTAAAAATAAAACAGGTATCTTCCACTGAGGTTCAAAGCTATAAGGATCTCTGGAGATGACTGTGTGTTCTCTAGTTTACAAAGTAGTAGCATGAAGCATGAAGCTCAAAGCTGCGAAAGAATCTGCCCAAGATTCCACAACTTTATGTTCCACAATCTAACCTGCCAGTCAGTTGTAAGCATAAGATGACAAATTATTTCTTCTTCTTTTCTTCTCAAGACTATTACTATAAAGTCGGTACAGGATGAAAAAGATGTCTTAAAGTTCTATCCACATAGACCAGAACAAAATTCAGTCTCAGGTGGGACCTTGTAGAGCAGTTAGGAGGAAGTTAGTTGAAGGCATAATTGCTGAATTTCAGTAAAGGGTCTGTTTCCCCGTGAAAGCCCAGTTATGTAGATAGTCAAAGGATAAAAGAAATAGAGTACCATAAATTATAAATTTGACAAATGTAATAGCTGCAAATGGCATAGTCTCTGCCCACTTTAAAGATTAATGAAGTTAAATTCATTTAACTTGTTATAACCTAAGGATGTCCTTTGACCTAATTTATACAGGTGATTCATTTTAGACCACAGTATGATATTTCTAGTTTTTAAAATTTTTTTAAATTTTCTTTTTAATGGTGCTAATACAATTGAGAGGATTGCATGCCTCTATGAACCTTTGATTAGGGTGTGAGAATCAGGTATGGGGGAAGGTGCATGTGACAAGTGTTTCTTTTTTTTCCCCCTTAATTCCGGCATCAGGAAAAGAAGGGGAAAGGACTGTTACTTACCTCAAAGTACAGTAGCCCCGGTGGGATAGTCACTTGGTGATGTCCCAGAGACTTCAACGTGGGAAAGCGTGTTTTGAGTGTGTGACTTCGGGTGGGTTTGATGGTTCTGAGATATTGTCAAATTCATCTCACCAGGGTTGAGAAAATCTTTCCAAGGTCTGTTGGCTGACCAAGTCTATCTTAGTGCATTCACAGACCCAGGGGTATGTGGCAAAGCTAAGAAGGACAATTATACAACCTGTTCTTTCCATCCTCTGACACAGTTGATGTCCCCTATTGGCCTAGATGAGCTGACTGTCATGTCCCACCATGTGCCCTCTGGGCATGTTGTCCACTGCACAAGCATCAGCCACTGAGGAGACCCAATCCTGATACATGCTTTCCAGGGTCAGATAGCACATACTGTGATTTTTCCCTGTGATCAGGGTCTGAGTCCAGCAGTCCAGTTAGGGAGTACCACAAGAAACCTTGCTTGGGTGACCTCGAAATTGACTCTAGTGTGTAGCAGCCAGTGCTGCAAGGTCAGGTTCTTTCTGTCACCTGCACCATTCAACACACATACAGGCGAATGCAGCTGCCTGATCTGTTCTACCCCAGCTGCATAACTCATGTGAACTGCCAGGTGCTACAGCCCAGCCCAGCCAATCCACCGCAAGCTCATTGCTCATGCCACAGCCCAATGGGTGCCACAGCCTAGTCAGGGCAGCCCATAGCCCATTTTAGCACTTGCCAGCTCTGCTGCAGTCTAACCTGACCCAACTCTAATCCCATCCAGCTCTTGTGCACACCCATTGGTGCTGCAGCTTAGCTCAGCCTGCCTAACCCCCAGACCCAACTCTCATGTATGCCAACAGGTGCCACAGCTTTGTTGAGTATGGCCCACTCCCAAATCTGGGTTCTTACACTCACCAGCAGTAGGTATAGCCTAGCAGGGGAGTCTCACTGTTCCCCTACCAGGCATGCTTCTGGCCCTGGATCTTGTGCTTACTAGAGGGTACTGCAGTCAAGCTTTATATGGCTTGCATCTTAATTCTAACCCTGCTGATCCAAAGCAATCTGGCTCATGTACATGCCAGTGGGTTCCGCAGCCTAACCCAGCCTGGCCCACCCTCTTTCCAAGCTGTCACACTCCCGTGTGGAAGCAGCAGCCCATCAGGGGATTCCTGGAGATTCTCCTACTAGGCCTGTTCCCAGCCCTGGGTCTTGCATGTGCCAGTAGGTGCTGCAAACCAGTCTGAGATGGTCTGCCTCCAGCTTCAGCATTAGGCAACAGGTGCTGCAGGCCAGCTCAGCCAAGTTCACTCCTGGTCCAGCTCTCACTAACAGGTGCAACAGCCTGGCCCACTCCTAGCACCAGCACCAGTACCAGCCTTCATGTGAACTGGTTTGTGTTGCAGTCCAGCCAGGTACACCCTGCACCCCGTCCTGGCTCTTGTGCCAGTTGTGCTATTGACTGGACCAGCTCGCCCTGCCCTCAGACGCAGTATACACATATGCCAATAGCTGCTGTAGCCCATCTTGGTTTGATCTGCCCCAGCTCACATGCTCACCAGCAGGAGCTGTGGCCTAGCAGAGGAGTTTCTCAACGAATGAATCTCATGTGTGCCAGCAGTTGCTGCTGCCCAGACTGATATGGCCAACCCCTAGTCCTAGCACTCAC